GGGGGGGGATTAGAACCCCTGTTGGGTTTATACTGCTGTCTTGGGCTCCAATAGAAAGAGGTAGCAATGGTTTCACCAGACAGGAAGTGAGATTAACTCTCCAACAATAACACAGGCATCAGTAAAAAGCTGACTAGGTCTATAGCCTTTCCCTACTCTAATATACCAGGGGTTTTTATTTCCCCACTGGCACAGAGTTTGCTAAAATAAGGGAAATACTGGACATTTATATATATTTTGGTTGCCACCTGTCCGGGATTCATCTGGACAGTCCGGGTTTTGAATGCTGTGCCCGGGTTTCATGGCATCTAAAACCCGGACACAAGTTGTAAGGCAGACGGGCAACCAAAATTTAGATAGGGGCTACTGGCCCCCTCACTGAAAATAGTCTCAACTGTGATATTTACATATGAATGGGCGGTGCTATTTACATGTGAATAAGCCACGACTCATTCTCCCAACAAAATTTCCATACGTCGCTAGAGTATTCGGGTTTCGATGAAAGAAAAGGTGGCAACCCTAATATATAGATACAGTATATATATACACAAGCCACAATAAGATCTGAACTCTCTAGGTACCTAAATCGCTTTGCACCTGCAAGATACATTCCCCGCATCCCTGAACTAAGATAGATAGAGCCCACACATCTACATGTACACTGGCCTGCCTATTTATTGTTTTGCAACAATTTTCATTCATAAATAAATATTGAGCAGAACTCGTGTTGACAGCTTAGGCCTGCCCTGAGAGCATCTCTCTGGTATAATCAGGGGAGCTCTGTGGTAACTTTGACAGCTGATCCCCTGTGTGCTCGTCCTGATACAGAGTGACCACCTGTCACATTGGCTTCTCCTCCAGCTCAGCCCCTGCCTCAGTCTGGCCTTGTGCCTTGGTCATTTAGCTTTTTTTAAGCTATTTTAAACTCCTCACCTTTCCACAAGACAGTACAGGATTTCCCTGCCTGAGCACTGCTCGGAGATGAGGACCAGGTACCGGGGGGTGATGTAGGCTTCATGCAGGCTCAGGATCCTCTGATGGTGAAGGCATTTCAGGACCTCATACTCTTGCAGCACACTTTGCTTATTCTCTTGTTCATAGGGGACGATCTTGGCCATGAAGTGCTTTCCCGTCACATTTTCTTTACACTCCCGAATCACCCCAAAGCGACCTCTGAAGGAAGAGTGACCACGGTATTAGTAAAGTACATTCTATGTCTGGGCTGCATTCATACCAATATAGTACAGTGCTAGGAGTAAAGCAACATCAACATAACACAACAGCACCATATTTGTATCAATAGGATTATAGATATGTAACTCAGAGAGGGGCACAAATGGAGCCAATCAGGTGTGCACCTTGCACATAAGGGATGAGCTCAGGTTGGGACTGAACCCGATCCGAACCTGATCTCCTCTGGACCTGGAAGGAGCTTCCCCTGAATACAGAAGGAAGCTCCTCCCTGTAAGAGGTATTACACTCCCATGCCGTACAATCAGCTGTGACCAGGGAATTCCCCATACAAAGAGAAGAAAAGCTGGTCCCTGGTGCTGGGATAGTTTATTGAAGCTAGACATGTGCGATTCGCAACGAAACAAATCAAAATTCGCAACGAAACAAATCAAAATTCGCAACGAAACAAATCAAAATTCGGACGACATTTTGGAAATTCGTAGATTCGGAGCATCCGAATTTCCGAAATATAACATATCCGAAAGCATCCGAATCCGAAATTTTCGGATTTGGAACTAATTTTGTCCAAATCCTGTGCGTGCACTGTTAACATTTAAATGGATAAAAACAAATTAAGAAAAGGATTTTAATGTCCCTTTAATAGTACAGACGAGAGCACAGCAACCAGAAATGACAAATCTGCCAATTTTGCTACCCAACCTCAAGTGGAATTTTTGGGAATTCGTCCGAAATACGAATCCCGAATCAGATCTGAATCCGATTCCCGAAACACATATAGGATCCGAATTACAAAAAAGAAATCCGAAACTAAACAAATTTTTAGCCGCTGCACATGTCTAATTGAAGCATGTACCACATCACTGCTGTCCTGCCCAAGGTCCACCTCCTCTGATGTGCTTCACTCAATCACGTGCTTAGTCATAGACTAGACTAGACTTGGGTGAAACCTGTCTGAAGACCTTGGGCAGGACACCAATAATGTGGTTTAAGCTTCAATAAACTATCGCAGCGGAAGCCGGTGTGCGGCCAGCTTTTCTGTTTGTATAGGCTGTGAGGATGCGCTCCCAGTGGGAAGCACCTGGCTCATTCCTTTCCTGAGCCGAGGAGGAGCGGTGCTTCTTTACTGTGTTTCCCTTGCAGGGAATTCCCCTCCCACAGCTTGACGTAAGCAAAGAGGAGGGATGCAGTGACATCATTGACCTTATGTGGCTACATGCCTATTTTTGGTAAATGACCATGCCTATGTGGCCTTATAAGGTAAATGGCATCAGTACATGTATCCCTCCCCTTTGTTTACATGCAGTTGCAGGGCAGGGAATGCCTGCCCTAGAGTTGATTGGGTGGCTGATGCACTTCCTTGATTGGAGGAGGTCGTGCTCGGACCAGGTTGGGTCAGAACCTGAGCTCATCCCTACTGCACATGTGCTGATAAGACACATTCTGACAGAAAACAGCTGAATGAGTCACTGTTTAATCACAGGCTGGGGGCAGGGAGGTGACCAAACTGCACTGCTGAATTGTTATAGAGAAAAGTGAGGTCACCAGCCTGGTTCTCCTGTTTCTTTTACCTCTTAAAACCTCAGCTAGTACAGTTCCTGAGCTTGATTCCAACTTCCCAGGTCTGCATAGCTGCAGTAGCCATTACGAAGGGCTTAACTCTGCAGGGCCTTGAAGTTGTTTACTATTACTGAGAATGCAACATGAGAGGTGACAATATGCCAAGGCAGAGTAGAACACCTTAAAATTCAAGGTAGGCAAGAAGAGAGCTACAAATATGGCTAAAAAAGACAACAACATGGCTGACGTTGAAAAAAGTTTACACTCACCTGGCTTTCTCTTCTAGAAATGTGTAAGGTTTCTGGGGTACCCCTTGGCGAAGAGTGGTGCTTTCCCTTCCTGATGGTGTTGCTCTTCCCCCTGGAGTATATCTGCCTTCTTTACCAGGAGTAACACTCTTGACTAGTATGCGCGTAGGGACGATTTGACCAACAGGTGCAAAAGGGGCAGTCTGGGCAACCGGTGCGGGAGAGACAGTCTGAGGGACCGGTGTGGGAGCAACAACTTGAAGGACCGGTATGGGAGATACAATCCGAGGGACTGGTGCGGGGGCAACAATCTGAGGGACTGGTGTGGTAGGTTGTGGTTGTAAAGACCCTTTTGTTGGAGTGGTTGGTGGCATTGATATGAAAGAGGTCACCATGTAGGTAGGGGATGTAGGAGATGGTGGCTTGTATAGTGGGCTCGTTGGAGGAGAGGGGAAAAAAGGTTTGGTAGGGGAAGTTGGGCTTAAAGGTGAATTTGAGGCTTTGAAAGCGGGAATGTGCAACATAATCGGAACTGAGGGAGTAGCAACCATTGGTTTGGGAGCCACCGGTGGTGGCACCCGTGGCTCTGGGGATGTGAAAATTGGTTTGGTTGGTTCTACAGGTACAGGAGACTTAGTAGTGAGAAGGATGGGCACAGCTTTCACTGGGGGCACAAACGGTTCAAATGGGGCTTTCTGTGACTCAGTAGGAGACTTAGCTTGTTTCCCGAGAGTCACTGGCACGATTTTAGCAGCTGGTTCAGCAGCAGGCTTCACTTGCTGTGTTGGGACCGAAGGTGGAATTCTCAAATGGGACACAGAAGGTCCAGGAGTCACCGACACAGTTACTGTGGTGAGATGGGATGTTACAGGCCCGTCTGGTGGAGGCTCAGCAGACTGCAACTTGTTAGGCATGGAAACTTGATTTGGGGGCTCTACTTTAGTGGCAGTTTGGGGTAATGATCTGTGCACCATGGGAGGAGTGGAAACAAGTCCTCTGTGCTTTCTTGGAGCAGTTGGTGGAGGAGGTCCTTTAGAAATTGGCTGCACAGGAGTTACAGGAGCTGGAGTGTTTGTCGATGGCGAAGGTATGGATGAAGCAAGAGGAGACCCAAAGGATGGAGGCAATTTGGAAGTAGAGACTGCTGGAGGAGACACTGTCGGTGCAGCGGGGACACGGGGAGCGACCGGTCCAAAAGAAGATAAAGTGGGCCGAGTCTTCTGAGCAGTGGGAGCTACAGCAGGTGAAGGTTTGAGATCTACAAATCAGGCAAAAAGAAAAGAAAAATAACTGCATTGCCTGTAGAATCAGCTGCACATTTTTACATCGCATGATAATAGCGTAACTCTTTATCAAACCCAAAAATTAAATAAAAATTACACTTAAGTGAATTCTAGTTCACAATTAGTATGCATGTTCGCGGGGGCGGGTCACTTTACATTTTTTGGGGGGTATTTTGACATTTATTTTTGTAAAGTTTTTTTTCAACTTAACTTCACAAGCCCCTTATGTGATAGCATATTAGTGGTGACAGGTACTCTTTAAGGTGACATTAGGAGTCTATTAGACCCCTAGCGTCACCTTTCCACTTCACAGACCATTCTTGACCATTCTTCTTCCAAGCTGAGGACCTGAAAGTGATGCAAGCATTGCTTCTGCCTCTATTCAGCGGGTAGGAGATCAGCGAACAGATGTTCGCCGGTCTCTCTCCCCACTTTCCGCTGACACCGGTGATGCTGGGACTGCAGGAGTTCGAAATGATCATTGATTTGACCCCATCAACTTTTTAAAAAATCCAATGAACATTCCAAAAATAAATTCTCTTTTAACTAAATTCTACTGATGTATTCCAGCTTAACAGTGTTTACTGCAAATGTGTGGTGCCCATAGACCGTGTGGTCATTCCCTAATCCAATTACAATCAGACAGACTGTGTATATGTATTGTGTCTATGGGCACTATAACATTCTGCTTACCATCTCCATCTATGACAACCATCTTGGAAAAATTGCTGTAGGGTCCCTGGCCAGCTTTGTTGACACAGGCCACACGGAACCTGACGGCGCCGGACGGCAGCTCGGTGACATTGTAATAGCAGTCGCTGATGCCGGAGCTGATCGCCTTCCACTCCCCTTTTCCTACAGAGATAACACACAACAAGACGTGGGATTAGGAATAAGAGATGCGTGACGACTGTGGGAGAAATCACAGAGCAGCATTGGCTTGGAACCTCTAATGTTCATAGAATGTAAGGCCTGAATCGTTACCAAACTCATACCGTCCAACTGTCCCTCATTGGGAACCAAGTCCCTCTGTCCCTCTTTCCTCCTAAGTTTTGGTCTGATGTTCACAAATCTATGAAAAGGTTCTATCGAAATACCAAAAGCGTTATTCTGCACTAAAACCTTCCTCTTATCTCTTAATTATCGTATTTATTATTTTTAAAAGCCGATATATAAAGGAGAGGTAATGGAAAAAAACAGTTCTGGGTTTAACCAATCATTTTTGGCATATAAATTCCTAATGCTCCTAATAACTGGGTGAGTAGCAGGAGGTGTGCCCATTGCCTAAATACATTGTGCTGGAAGGTGTCCCTCTTCAGAGGTGTCCCCAGGCTGGGTGTCACCCGGTGCGGCCGCCGGGTGTCGCCCGCTGGGACGTCATCGTGCATGCGAGTAACTGCTAGCAGCCATCTCGGTGATGGATACCGGCACAGAGAGGAGGGGACGTTCATCCGGCGGGATAAGGTATGCCACAGGGTTAGGGTTGCCACTTTTCTTCAAGCGAAACCCGAACACTGTAGTAGCCCCTATCCTAATTTTGGTTGCCCCCTGTCTGCCTGACATCTTGTGTCCGGGTTTCAAAACCCGGACTGTCCGGGTGAATCCTGGACAGGTGACAACCCTACACAGGGTCCTCCTCTGTCGTGCAGCTGTCAGGCTCTCTGTCCATGACGAAGTGCCCGATTTTTCAGAGGGGGTGACACCAAAATGACTCTCAGTCATTTTGTTGTCACCCCCTCTGATGGTGTCAACCCATGCGGGCCAAACCCCCTGTACCCCCCTCGTACAGGGGGTACAGTGACGCCACTGTCCCTCTTTCTCACATCAGAAAGTTAGGAGGTATGCGATTATAGGCCTATAATTCTAATTTGAGTAAGAAACAATAGATGGTCTCAGAGTCAGAGTTACCATGAAGCAAAGTAGGCCTGTGTTTATGGGCGGTAGAAGCAAAGAAATGGAAGCTGAGCACTTTTAGGGGGAAACAATCAACCAAAAAGGATTGAAGACCTTCTGTGACAGCACTGAAAGTGTCCGGCTTCCTCTCCTTCTATGCAGACATAGATTTACCAAAGGCAAACAGACTATTCAATTTGAAGCAGTGTGCCAGGGCAACCTGGGGTGCCTTCTGGCTTTCTCAGGGGTGCCTCAAAATTGTTTACACAACGTCATGCCCCTGATGTGCAGAAGCCTCTTGATGTGAAAGAGGGGGACCCTGATGTGAAGAACAGCTTCTAGTGTGAGAGAAGGTGGCTCCTTATGTGAAGGAGGCTCCGTATGTAAAGAGGGGCCCTGATGGGAAGGGAGCACCCAATGTGAGGAGGGACCCCACTTTTTTGTGTTTTTGTGTGGAGTGCCCCCTTAAAATTCATACCGGACCCCTATCTCAGATAAGGATCTGGTATGGATTTTGGAGGGACCACACATCGTTTCTTGCATGGTTTTTATATTTGAAACTGGGGTGTCTTGAGATTTTGCATACTTTCAATGGGTGACATGGCTGAAAAAAGGTTGAGAGACACTGGCTTAGTGAATGAGGCGAAGACTTTAATCATCCAATCATGTGCAAGCAAAAATAGTTTTTTAAAATGATTCTTTGCACAGTGATTATGTAGCACATGCAATCAAGGGTTTCTAAACCCTCCGTTTTTTTTTGCAGATATTTGCAAAAAGTAAAAAAAAAAAAAAAAAACGCTTTAACAGCAGTTTAAACTTACCGCTGTCTTCGCCGCGCGCTCCCGTCCGAGAATCCGAAACTGCTCGGGCGGCCGCAAAGCATCTTGGGGCGGGCGCATGCGCAGTTCGGATTTTCGGCCGGGAGACGAGCAGAGACGCAAGGTAAGTCTATGGACGCGTGCACCCGCATGCAGACACCGTGGGACAGGAAGTGCCAGCAAGGACAGAGGAGTCAGCGCTGGATCAGAGAGCCGCCGCACCGCTGGAGGGACAGATGAAAACATCAGGAAAGAAGAGGAAGATCGGATTAAGAGACATGCTGACATTAACATTGGGGGGAGGGAAACATTTTTTTTTACCTTTAATGTCACTTTAAGCTAATAAAGGGGCAATTCACGCTGGCTGCTGCACTACAACACAGGGCCACTGGTGTGCAGCGCCAGGCACAGTGCTGATCCCGGCGCATCACACTGTTTACCTTTTTTTTTCTTGTTAGAACTTTATTAAGTCACATTTCATTAAGTTCTATAGGCACAGCGCAATGCGAGGCAGTTGTACAGCGTTGCACCCCCCTGCACCGACAAAATGCTGCATGCAGTACTTTTAGCAGCGCACACTACCACAATGCACTGGTGTGAACCAAATTTGAAGCAAAGCAAATTGCCTTGTCTAGTGTTGGGGCTCCTCTGGAAAAAGCAGCTAGTGCAGCCCAATGCTTCTAGTGTGAATCAGCCGTATACACTGAGTGGCCAGATTATTATGACCACCTGACGTTTGTAGGCAAATTAGCTATAATTAGCTATATTTTGGCGCTGAAGTTGCTAGAGGGCCAGACCATTATAAATAGGGAAGCGGGTTGGTTACCACGACAGTAGAAGTGATTTGTTTCTGAAGATACGGGCAAACAACGCGATTTAACAGCCTTTGAACGCGGGATGATTGTTGGCGCTCGGAGCCATGGAGCGAGTATCAGCAAAACAGCAGAATTCGTTAAATGTTCAAGAGCAGCTGTTGTTAAAGCGTTTAAAGACCGGACTGTCAGCTGAAAATCTGGGTCTGAAGGTGCGAATTGTGTCCGTCAGCGACTAGTCAATGTTAGGGCAGAACGGAGAGTGGCAAGACTGGTACAAGACAACAGAAGGGCAACAGTGCGGTGTCAGATTCCTCGCATCACCTTTCACCATCTCGTGGAGTCACGAGGCGGCCCAACTAAGTCATCTCGTGGAGTCACCAGGCGGCCCAACGAAGTACTGATGGGGTGGTCATAATAATCTGGCCACTCAGTGTAAATTCTCTAGCAAGTGAACAGCCATCTTCTTTTCGTAAATCAGCCTCATAGACGCAGAGCACACAGGCAATTTTTAGTAGCAACTGCGCCACCAGAATAGCTATCGATAAATCACTAAATGTACCAAATAGAACGCTATGATGTGAGTTGCATTTGTAGCAATGAATTGCACATGAATTGCAATGTGTGATCAATAGCAATTAATCGCTGCTAATTAAGCGCTGCCTAATTGACACCACGGAGCACAATTTTTTCCGATGATGTATCAATTGTTTGCTAACCCCAGCACAAAGTAATGTGATTGCTCTCGTCTGTGTGCTTGTAGCCATAGAGCCATGTCAGCGGCCATTTTGTGGCAGCAATTCCTTACCCTTACAAATCACCAACGTCACAGATCAGTAGCCATTGATAGCTAGTGACGTAATCGCTATAGTCGCTGGCAATTTGTCACCAAGAATTGATTTTTCGCAGTTACAAGTTCGCGTTCGCTGCTACAAAATGCTTTGCACTAAAGCCATATAGGTGAATGCGGAGCAATTGTCGACGACATGAAAGTCAGTGACTGTAATTGCTGCAAAATTAGCAATTCCATAGAAAATAATTACAATTTCTTTAGCAAAAAAATGACTTATTAAAAAAAAAAAAAGGATTGTTGTGAATAAAGTTTCCATTTGACACGGCCCATAGACCTGAATTATTATTATTATTATTATACAGGATTTATATAGCGCCAACAGTTTGAGTTTGCACAGCGCTTTACAATATAATCCTACACCAAGCCAAAAATCCATGTTTATACAGTTGAGAGTTTTTCTTGAGGACCTTCGGGTCCTGACACCTCTCCATTCAGGTCTATTGGCATGCAAAAAAACCCTATAACAGCCGATCATGGTGATGACACCAGACGCTTCCATTACACAAACAGAAACTGTGTCTATGATGCTACACTTCAACCTTGTTCAGTTTACACCCCCTCAGGCTTTGCTACACTGCTGTCCCCACGGTGTGTCTTGGCAACTGTGACTCCAAGGAGACGTGTCATGCTAGACCGGGTTTGAGCTCACCGTTCATCTGACTCTCCAGGAGGTAGGTGCAGGGGGAGCTGAGCTCCTTAGACTTCCATAGAACCAGCACCGTGTTCCTATACTTCTGGGGGATCTCCGGGGTCCCGGGGGCTTGTGGGATTCCTGAGAAGGGGGAAACGCAATAAAAAAAAGGGAGGAAAAGGTTAAAACTGTTGGTTATGTTTAGCCAACAGATGGGATCCTCTTAATTTTAAACATCACAGGTCCCATATAAGTGCCACCAGAGTGTTGGAAAACCAGCTATGGTGGCTTCTCCTTTTAGAGCTCATCATTCACATTACAATCTCATTTTACAATCTCCTTTAGCTCTACCAGTACTCTGTATTTCAGGGGTTTGCCTAATCGGATACAAATTTAGCTTTGGATAAAGTCGGGTATACACGGTTCTATTTTTTTGTTCAACCTGCAAACTGAATTTAAAAAAATAGAACAGATTCCTCCATCAACGCTTACGGAATCCCCCGCTGTTTGCACTGTTCTCTGATTGGCTGCAAGCTCCGTCTGGCCGAGAATTTTCTAACAGGCTCCTTCGATCAGCTGATTGAGGGATGCCAGGCAGGGAGATGCCGACAGCGTCACCCATGGTACAAATTCCTGATGAGCCGGACGAAATTAGAAATGTCAGCATTTTTTTGCCATCCGTGTCCCATTGGAGAGATTTCCCTTTACTTCTTGTCTGTGACACACAACGGCAAGTGAGTGGGAAATCCCTACAAAGACAGGGAATCCCTAGTGGTCAGCAGGGTCACCAGAACTAGTGTCCCCATTGGAAGATTTCCCATATATTCCATGTCAGCTTTTTTTAGCCATCCATGTCCCATTGGAGAGATTTCCCTTCACTTAATGTCTGTGACCGACAACAGGAAGTGAGTGGGAAATCCCTACAAAGAGAGGGAATCCCTAGTGGTCAGCAGGGTCACCAAACTAGTGTCCCCATTGGAAGATTTCCCATCTCTTCCTGTTCTGGTGACAAGCTAAAATTTGGGATTTTCTTTACCTTCGGTGATAACAGTCACCAGAGCAAATGGAGAGGGTGAATCTCCCTAACGGGGACACAGAGGGCAATGGAAACCTGACAAGTGCTCTCAGGGCTGTCCCTAAGGTATTCGCCGCCTAAGCTAATGTCGTTCCGGGGAGTGCTTGCAGGGAATGGTCACTGGGGAAGCACCACGGTTGTTGTGCTGTTTTGTTGTTCAGGATGGGGGATTGGCAGATGCCGAACAGAACCGATGACAGCATCCCAATCAGGAATGTATAATGGAATGGAAGGTATATTGGCCCTGTGTATGTGTGTGCAATAGGGACCTTGGATTGTGAGTATCACATATAGTCTGAAATTGTCTGAAAAGTGCAGTGTATGGCCAGCATTAAGCCTCATTCACACACAACGCAAGAGCAAAATTGTATATTGCGTATATACGCGTGTATGTACGTGCGTATATGCGCGTATTTATATGCATATACGTGCGTATATGCGTGCACTGCATGCAATCCCAGAATGCATCACTCGTAATGGAATTGTTAATGTGCTGTACGCATGTACCCGCATATATATACGCGTATATGCGCGTAAATACGCTGCCTGGGTTTGCATCTCGGTTCCATTCTGTTTTTACGCATGTTTACGCTACGCAAATATACGGCTCCATACGCAGCTATGTGTATGGAGCCAATTATTTGCATATGTTGCATATGGGACAATACGCGCGTATATGTGCGGCAGTGTGAATGAGGCCTTAGTGATCCTGTCCAGGGAGGACAGCATGTGCTATATACCGCGATTCCATAGAATACATACGTGCAACACACAAGGAGCAGGAACTGGTGGCATTGCCCAGCACATTCGCTGCCACACATTCGTACAGCCCGGCCTCTCGCTGTCCGGTGTTGGAGATGGTGAGAACTTGGCGGCCATCAGGGCTCGACTTTATAGTCACGTTTTCTCCTGATTCTAAGACCATTTTATCTGAGGACAGGAAGACAATCTGTCACAGGCAGGTACACTACAGAATAATACAAGTTTGACAACATTGTTATATATTGGATAGTTTTCTGTAACAATATATATACATTGTATGGCCGAGAGTGATGAGTTGACCAGCGTAGTGAGTTGAGGTGTTCAGTATCATACGAGTGCCCTGCACACACATCCACAGATCAGAAGATTATATTCTAACTTATTATATAAGAGTGGAGCAAATCATTCTGATATATGGAACAAGGATGTCAAAGCTTTTGCTTTCTTCCCCAGAAGTGAGAGGAGGAATCTTTTGTCTTTCAATAACTGTGAACTTTACAAAGAAACAGATCAGTGGGGATGTTGTTAGTTATAACTCAACTGAAGGAGAAGATAACCGGGGAGGCTGCTAAATACTTAACACGGCCATGTAACCCGAATGATTAATGACTCCAATCTGAAACCGTGATACTGCTGAGCTTACTGAATAGGGGACAGACGGAGAGATAAAAGAGAGGAAAAAAGAGATAAAGAAACTGAAAAAGAGGAAGAAGGAGATTGAGAGAAAAGAGGGAGAAGGAGAAAGAGAGACAAAGAAAAAGAGGGAGAAGGAGAAGGAACAATATAAACTAAAAGAGGGTGAAGGAGAAAGAGAGTGAAAGAGAGAGAAACTGAAAAAGAGGAAGAAGGAGATTGAGAGAAAAAGAGGGAGAAGGAGATAGAGAAGAGGGAGAAGGAGATAGAGAGACAAAGAAAACGAGGGAGAAGGAGCTAGAGAAGAGGGAGAAGGAGATAGAGAGAAAAAGAGGGAGAAGGAAATAGAGAGAAAAAGAGAGAGAAGGAGATAGAGAGAAAAAGAGAGAGAAGGAGATAGAGAGAAAAAGAGAGAGAAGGAGATAGAGAGAAAAAGAGGGAGAAGGAGGTAGAGAGACAAAGAAAAAGAGGGAGAAGGAGCAAGAGAAGAGGGAGAAGAAGATAGAGTAAAGGATGGAGAAGGAGCTAGAGAAGAGGGAGAAGGAGATAGAGTAAAGGATGGAGAAGGAGCTAGAGAAAGATGGTGCCGTCTTTCTGGAGAGTAAAGCAGGTGTAAGGCATTGGGGGGGGGGGGGGGGGGGTACTGTGATCTCTGTGAGAGATGATAAATACGTGGAGGTGTTGAATGAACACATTGATTAATATTCACGCATTTAGCCATACTGTATATCTGATACTACTGAAGGTCCACTTGAAGCAGAACTCCAGACCTGCAGCTGAATACACAATACTAAGGCTGTCTGGATGATATCGCATGCAGCTGCATGTTCATCATTTTAAGGCTAAAGGTATTTTATTGATGCGTCGCTACCTTGAAATAATACCTCGACTCCCTTTATATGACTGCATGTAGCTATATTTGTAAATATACCGGGGCTGATTGTATTTTATGGCATGTAACGGTATTGTGATAATAGAAAGGCTGCCCGTATTTTATTGCTTGTGGCTTGCTTCATTCCACATGGCTGAGCAGCAAAGTGTATTGAGTCATTGTTGGGAGACATTAATAATGCAGAGCGGCTTCCGCCTGTAAAATGGGATACGGGCCCTAAATAATATATGTTACACATATTATCACAGAGAGCTGCCATCATTCAGGGCTGTACCTTGCCACTGCACGGCCTGGAGCTATAAATGACACCGGGCCTACCCCTGGTGTGTGCTAACAGGTATTTATATTAACATGGGGTGCAATACGGAAGCCACCAACACTGACATGCTGGGCTTTACCTAGGGTTGCCACCTGCCCAGGATTCACCCGGACAGTCCAGGTTTTGAATGCCCTGTCCAGGTTTCATTGCAGCAGAAACCCGGACACAAGATATCAGGCAGACAGGGGCAACCAAAATTAAGATGGGGCTACTGGCCCCCCCACTGAAAATAGTCTCAACTGTGCTATTTACATATGAATAAGCCACCACTCATTCTCCTTTACTGTCAGATCTCCCTCCTTCACCCCTGCGGCAAGTCAACATCATATCCGTCTTAGCTGGCAGGGGAGAGCATGTTCAATCTCCAAAAGGCCCATCAAGGGGGCAAGTTGACTCCTGCAAGCTATAAATATTGCTTGGATAGCCCGGGCATAGCTGGAGAATTGAGCTGCTTCATGACCACTATACAGCAAGTTCACCCCAGACTATTAACTCTATCACTGCCAGAGAAGCTATAGCTGCCGGGAGTCTGTTTACAGGGGCCCGCTGCCCACGCTGTAAGGCATATGTTGCTGGTAGACAAAATTCAGATGAATTTACCAAAATTCGGACACATCCGAATTTCCGAATCCCAGTGTATCCGAATTAGGGTTGCCACCTGTCCAGGATTGACCCAGACAGTCCGGGTTTTGAATGCTGTGCCTGGGTTTCATGGCAGCAGAAACCCGGACACAAGATGTCAGGCAGACAGGGGCAACCAAAATTAAGATAGGGGATACTGCCCACCCCCCCACTAAAAATAGTCTCAACTGTGATATGTACATATGAATGGGCGGTGCTTTGTACATATGAATAAGCCCTGACTCGTTCTCCCAAAAAAATTTTCGAATGTCGCTAGAGTGTTCGGATTTTGCTTAAAGAAAAGGTGGCAAACCTAATCCGAATGTGTCAGAATCTGAATTTCCATTTCCGAATTTCGGATACAGTCCGAATTTAGTTAAAAAAACAAACCAAATCGAACATGCAGTGGCATCACAAGGGGGGTGCGGCCCGCACCCGGGTGACACCATTGGATGGGGTGACCCCAAAATGACTGACATTCATTTTGGTGTCACCCCCTGTAAAAAGTCAGGCACTCGATCATGGACCGAGAGCCCGACAGTGTCAGGAGAGAGGAGGGGACCTGGTCGCATACCTCATCCTGCTAGGTGAACGTCCCCCTCTCTCTGCGGGCTTCCATCAGCGTCAATTAGATGGCCGCGCATACGCGATGACGACACGGCAGGGTGTGACCTGGTCTCCGCTCCGGGTGACACCCAGCATCGGGACGCCCCTGCGGACATGTGACTTTTCTGGCCATTCAGATGTGTTTTTCAGTTTATTGGATCCGAATGGGTCTGAAGACGAATTTTCGTCATGGCAACATGGGAGCCAAATACAGAATATACATATAATACTAAAGCTGAGGCTCCCAGAACCGAATGGCATTCAGGAGCTCACGAATGCAATTCGGAAATTCGGATCCTGAATGCCATTCGGGTCGAGGAGATTCAGCTTTAGTATTAATATCTGTATCTGGTTTTCTGTGGTATTCGCAACGAGTATTCGTAAACTCATCCGAAACTAACGGAATTCGTATTTCGTCCGAATCCGAAACACGAATTGAATTTCAGATCCGAATCACGAATTCCGAAATCACGAAATATCCGAACTGAACCGAACCGAATTTTTCCGCAGCTTACATGTCTAGTCACTGGCAGCGAAAGGGTTAAACAGCCATATAACACATGTACCTTGATAAATGCATAGCGCCATGTTTGATTTCTGTCCACACGCCAGTGGTCCAGCAATCAACTCGGTTAGCTGCCGACCATTTACCGGCAAGGCCATCCAATTCATGGTGTCGCGCAGCCCCCCTTGTACTCACAGGGCACAGTTAGGCTTTGCAATGACAAGATATAGGTAGCATAGGGGGACTGAGCGACAGCAAGGGGTCTATTTTCCTGTTTCCTTTTCATGTATTACCCCAATACGGGCACATAAAATGCTCATTTGATGTGCTCCTCAGCACTATCTATTGGCCATAATGGGGTATTACATAGAAAAGAAACATTCAAAAAATGCATTGCCTTGTAAATCAATAACTAGAGACTGTTCGTTTTGTCATATATCTGCACAGATCGAATGTTCACAGATATTGGAGGGCCCTGTGGACAGTTTAGAAACAGACCCCCATGAGTTGTATGTTACCACTGGTAAATGGCTGGCGGTTTCCATTGCTGATTGACAGCCAGAGCGCAGACAGAATTCAAACGCGGTGCTATGAATTTATCATGGTACATGTGTCATACGGCTGTTCAGTGTTCATAGGGTAAGTCTAAGGTGAACTTCCACTTTCATCAATTGAACCCTTTAATTTTTTTCCTGCGATATCACATTGCTGAGAAGCTCATTTGGCAAATTTGGCTTTACTCCGGAGTGCAGACTGTCCCTCGTCATCCTCACGCATCATGCAGGGCTGTGGGCCCTACATTAGACGTGATGAGGTCAGCTGACCTCTGTCTGGACATATTAGAAATGGCCGCTCACAGATCACACTATGACACCATGCGTACAGTCTATAATGTTCCACCCGGACACCGCAATAAACATCCCCAATATAAGTGTCATGTTACCTTTCTTCCACAGGATTCGGGGTGCAGGGCTGCCGGCAGGAAGACAGGAAAGGGTCACCGAATCCCCCTCTAGAATCACCGTGTCCTTCAACTTGATGTGGAAGACCGGAGGGAAATCTGCACACAACATCCAAACATTCAGAATTAACAACTGCTGAAAGAGAACCTGTCACCAAACCATGCATTTCAACAAAAACCTTCCCAGTTTTGATAAATAATTCCCCCCAATGAGTGTCTATCCCTTGCAGTGGGGGTGGGGTGGGGGGGCACTACAAGGGTTAATCTGTAACAAATAAATCAAGGCAACTGGACTTGCTGGATTTTTATTGAAGAGGTTTCGCTGGTCATCGGATTTGCTCTCTCGATTCTGAATTCTATATTGAGAAAGCTAGTCAAGTGACCAGCGAACGTCTTCAATAACAATCCAGCAAGTCCAGTTGCCTTGATTTATTACAGATATACCATGACCCGGATGAATGAGAACCTTCACAGACATGAGTGTGACAACAAGTATGCAACCTCAGCTTAAATAGTGAATCACACAGAATACACCACAGAACCTCCCCATGACGTCATACTGACATCAAATCCCACCAGAATTTGAAAGTAAAAATTAGCATATAAACAGACAAAATTTTATTTTTTATTTTTTCCACACAACCAACTTGCCTGAACAATGTTAGTAACACTGACTTCCTGTGCCCTGCAACTACCGTGTTTCCCCAAAAATAAGACACTAGGTCTTATTAGATTTATATTAGATTTTTTTTTTTTTTAATGTGCAACAAAATGTACAACAATCCATAGTTATGTTAGTAACTGGTTAGTAACCGGCGCTATAGAGGAAGTATTGGTTAATGCGACTCTGCTCCCTCCGCCGCCGCCACCGCCTTGCTTTCTACAGCACCGGCCTCCTTTGCCATCAGGAACAGTGGTACCAGCGGAGCAGCAGTGGGGACATCAGACAGTGGACAGCGCGGTAAAGTACGGTACCATTTACCGGTACACATTACAATACCGTACCATTACATTAAGCAGTGCCTTCAGGGGGACAGCAGTTGGTGAAGTATGGTACTGGAGAGCTCCCTGTCACTGCGCTGGCCAGGGGGAGTGTCCTGTCATCCCCTTAATACAGTATGTCCCTGCAGGCTGATACCATCACTCCTGCTCTTCAAGTTCCCCCTCACATGCCATCACCCAACTAGGTCTTATTTTCGGGGTAGGTCTTATATTACAGGAATCTTGAAAAATAGTGCTAGGTCTTACTTTCGGGGAAACAGGGTACTACTACGGTACTACTACTACTACTGAACAGTGGCAGCGGAAGAAAACACCTCAAATCCGAAAAAAGAAACAGAGAGGCTGTCAGTGTCTGTAAAGATGGATTGCTGCCACGTCACTGGTTTCCAGGACAACTGCGGCAGCACAGTGGAGGCAGGGAACCCCGCACAGTGAGAGACAGTACCAGGGATCTCAAGTCTTCCTGATGTTCAGGGAGTCTCCCTCTTTTGGACAGCAGCTCCCTGATGTCCGCGAGAGAGGCATTTTCTCCCTGAAAGGTTTGCTCTGAGTAAACCTTTCCGGTAAGATATCAGTGGGTAAAGTTTCAGAGTGAGGCTTGCCTCCTGGAGGAAGGTCATGTGATCTCTAGAGTAGACCCAGAACAAGGCTTGCCTCCTGGAGGAAGGTCATGTGATCTCTAGAGTAGCCTCAGAACGAGACTTGGCTCCAGGAGGAAGGTCATGTGATCTCTAGAGTAGCCTCAGAACGAGACTTGGCTCCTGGAGGAAGGTCATGTGATCTCTAGAGTAGCCTCAGAACGAGACTTGGCTCCTGGAGGAAGGTCATGTGATCTCTAGAGTAGCCTCAGAACGAG